GAAGCTTCCCCACGGCCTCAGGTCAGTGCAGTGTTCTCCTGGGGGTCAGTGCTGGCAGCACAGAAATTCCCAAATTCTCAGCAGCCAGGCTTCCAACAAACACACATACAAAGAACTCCACTTTTTTTTTTTTTTTTCATTGAAAAATACTGATTACTACAAAAATGAAGGTACACAAATGGCCTCTGGCAGAGCCCAAAATCAGCTTTCCGTGGATTTTCACTGCTCTGAACAAGCACTCTCAGTGAAGATCTGCCTTAAATATTTGTGTGTTCCCTGTCCTGCCCTGAACTTTGCCTGCACAGGATGTGTTCCTGCCTTTCCCACTGCTAACAGTGGCAAAAAAACCAAAAAGAGCCTCGTGCTCCCCATGTCCCCCCTGCCAGCTCAGCTTGCCACCCCCCAAACCCCCGAGAAAAGTCCTCAGAAATCTGGAGGAATGGATTTAAGGGAGAAACGGAGCTGAATTCCTTTATTTATCTCCTCCAAGTCTGGGAATCCAGAGGAGATGTTGGTGCTTTGAGGTTTTTAGTAATTAATTTCCTCTGCCACACAAAATTTGACACAAAATACACATAAACTGACAAAAATTGAAAATAATTTTCCTTATTCCGACCCTAAATTTTCTTTTCAATGTAGGATGAGGCAAAGGAAGCTTCAGAGAATGAAGAATCTATCTGGAAACAGAGCTGAATTCCTTTATTTATCTCCTCCAAGTCTAATCTAAAAGGAGATGTTGTCACTTTGATGTTTTTAATTGATTAATTACCTCTGCCACACAAAATTTGGCACAAAACACACATAAACGAACAAAAACTGAAAATCATTTTCCTTATTCCAACCCTAAATTTTCTTATCAATGTAGGATGAGGCAAAGGAAGCTGCAGAGAATGAGGAATCGATCAGGGAAGATCAGGAAGGATTTTGGGATTATTTGCTTTTGACATAGAAATCAATCCCAGTCAGTTGCTCCTGGCTTTAAATTTGTAAGTATCTCCAAAAAACAAATTAAAAAAAAATATTTCAATGTTAAGGAAAACAGAAGGCTGCTGCCACGGCAGGGTTTGTCAATAGTTGTGAGCTGCCCCGGGGCCCCCAGATCAGAGGTGCAGGAATTGAAGTAATTCTGAGCCAATCCTGCTCCTCTGCTCACATCCTCCGAGTTGCCTTTTCTTTGGAATAAATGAAGTTGTCTGCCCCCACAAAGCAATCCTTTTTTTTTTTTTTCCTCCTTAAAATGTTCCTCATCCTTCCATTTTCTGCATTATTCATGGAATGTCCCTTCCCAGGGCTGTGCAAACTCACTTTTGTTGGGTTTTTTTCTCCCCCCTAAGCATCTATTCCTCCTTTCCCCTTTCCAACAGCCCCTCCCTGCAAACACAAAAACATCAACACTGAGCTGATACTCTAACCAGAGAGAAAATTCACTGGGGGAGGGAAAGAAGGGGGGAAATAGAGGGAAAAAATAAGGAAAGGGGAGATGGAGAAGAGAAAGAAAGAGAAAGAGAGAAAATTAAAGAGAGGGGAAAGGAA